GTTTTGTGTTTTTTTTTTTTTTTTAATATTGTTTTGTTCATTATATGCGAGGATATGTTGTTTTTTAATCGGTTTTGTGTTTTTTTTTTTTTATATATTGGTTGATTTTTTTAAACACCAGATGTTATTTTGTTCATTATATGTGAGGATATGTTGTCTTTTATACATGTTGATCCTTGAATGTTTATGCACTTAAGGATCACATGGACTTGCGCCACAGACAATCAAGTTGCACACATTCAACCTAACCAACCATATAGAATGATTGCTTCATTGTGAACAACCACTCAACTACCCTATAAAATGAATTGGTTCAACCTTTCTAAATTGTAAAACAAGGCATTCAAGTATGTCGCCTTGATAACATGCAATGCGAGGCATTTAAGAGATAGTTGTGGTTATGCGAGCATGACTAAACATTATTTTGTGTGCCACGAGGAGATTGACCCTAAACACAAAAGGATTGATGAGCAATGATTTGAATTCATTTTCCAACTATTGAGTTCGGTTTTACAGCCATGTTTCTTCTTGGTGTTGGCTTGGATAAGCCTGTTGTTATCTCGGTTCGGGTCCTCATATTTCTTTCTTCTTTTTCCAATAGGCCTAACCCAAGAGGTAAAAAGGAGGCCTAACCGAGGAGGATGGGAAAAAGGAAAAGAAGGAAAAAAGGGCCCAAATCAAAGAGGTAAAACAAGTCTATCAAAGTCCTACTCTAAGAAGAAACATAACTACAAAAAGGAGCCTGGAAAATGGGTTTAAATTAAGTACCCTCGTCCCTTTGGTGTTTTGGGCAAATATACTCATAAAGCTATATTTAATCATGCTCGTGTAATCATTACCTAAATGCTTTGCATTACAAGTTATCACAGTGACGCCTAACTGAATGTCATGTTTTACAAGTTAATAGGATAAGCATCTATGTGAACAATTCAGGTCTTTCATGATGAAACAATTATTCTTTATGATTACTCTTGCAGGCAGATTAGACAAAATGTTTGTGAACGTACTCCCTACATTGCAAATATATGAGATCTTTTTGTGTTTAAATATCTTAGGATCACCAAGTATGCAAGACAAGACAACATATCCTCGTACAAAATGATCAAAATAACATTCTCATTCACGAGGGTCCACTTAGCCTATATAGGACTTGTTTTGCAAGTGCATATGAGGCCTTCAACAACTCAATCTACAAAGCCTACCAATCAGTTGTGGAAAGGCTCATAATCGTTTGAAGTTTCCTCTGTCTTCGTCAGATATGTTCTAAGATGTTCATTAGTCACCGGCTCTGCTTTAATTTTTCTTTGAATGCAAGTACCACCTGAGAATCTTTATGAAATTCATATTTGAAACTAGTTTTGCTCCTTGTCAATCTGCATTAGGTATACAGGAGATACAAACTATATTGCCAACAAATGCAGTCAGTTGTTGCATCATTTGAAACTGTTGCTGGTCTTGGAAATGCAGCTCCTTATGTTTGTTATGCAGTCAAAATTGTTTTGAAGCACTTTACTAGCTTGAAGAATGCCCTTTTGGATAAAATTCAGTTCACAGGAAGAACCTTCGCTGATAGTATTGTTACCAAGGAAAAAAGTCCTAGATACGGGAAAAACGAACGAGGCATTGGAAACCAAAATCCAACTCTGAACCTAAACTTTATTCAACATTCTGTTTGGCGATCTCAAAGGGGACTTCCTGATCATGCTGTAGCTGTGCTTAAGACATGGTTGTTTGAACACTTCTTACACCCGTAAGTGTTTGGTGGAACTTCTAAACCTCATTGCTATGCCATGTTATCCTGACTTATTAACATTGATGTTTATATAACTAGTTTTTATACTTCCCAGCTACCCCACAGACTCCGAAAAGCAAGCCTTGGCTCAGCAGACAGGTCTCTCAAGGACTCAGGTGTGCCTTCTTCACTTCATATCTTCTTGTCGTTCTCTAACATTGTTCTGATGGCAGGATTTTTACACCCTGAGAGGGAATGTCTATGGATATGCATGAATGACTATTTAAGCTGAATAGGTGTTCATATTACCACTTCATTGTTGTCGTGGACGGTTATGTCCTAAGAGACAATGATGCTATGTAATAGAGTTTCAAAATCTCTTTCCATGGTTCCATGCAGGTTTCTAATTGGTTTATTAACGCAAGAGTTAGACTTTGGAAGCCAATGGTGGAAGAAGTGCACATGCTTGAATCACAGCAAACTCAAGCCCCATCTGAAACGGTCAACCAGGGTGCCAACATGCCATCTGATTTGCCTCTCAAGAAACAGCCCCGATCAACCTCACACCAGAATACAAATCAAACGACACGCGCCCGCTCGCTAAATGAACTTGCTGAGGTGTCTAAGCAGAGACAGGGCCCAGTAAATATTTATGACAACAATTTTTCAGGTAATTACCACACTGCTGGTGTTAGTGGAAGCAAAGGTGTTTCGTTGGCACTGGGTCTTCCCCAGAATAATGGCATTGATCTATCATGGCCTCTCCCTATGAGCATACCTCACCACATCAACGTGGAAATGATTGGCATGATGGATTCAGCACCAGCAACAGGTTTTGAACTAGAAAAGCAGCATTTTGGGAAAGAGTAAAGGAGCCGGATACTGCATGATTCTATAATCTGCAAGCTCAATTTTCTTCATATTGCCTGAATAAAAAGGACTTTCTGTAATGTAATATCAAGTAGGCAGCCTCTTTGTCAAATGATCGTCGGAGTGGTAGAGATGAAGAAATGTAGTAAATGGTCGGAAGACAAGATTAACTGTTGCTTTATGAGATTTGGCACTAGATTTCTTTGTACTTTCAGTCATTTTCCCGGTTCCTATGGTGGAGAATTCAAGCACAAATTTTACAAGTAGCTCTGTGCCGCCATCATTAGTGGATGATGATGATTAAGGTGACATGTATCCATCGCGACCCCAGAACCAGCACATGATTTGCCTTCCTGATATGTTCGAATGGAAGTTAGTAAAGAGAGAGTTGACTGGGATAGCGAAAGCGAATGTTGAAAGAAAACGAACTTAATTCCATCGGTATTTTCATGACAGGACGCTGATTTCCACTCCCCAAATTGCAACCTCAACTTCATTTAAATAGCTGTGATTTGGAGCTCAATAGCTATAATGAATCCCGAACTTGATATGGGAGGCGTCTTTGGCTTCCTCTAAAGCACGCTGTAATTGATGAGCTATAATGAATGATTTGGTTTTTTTGGTTTTTATGATAATCTATAGATAAATGTATGCATTATGTATGGGACTTGTAATTTTCTTGGGAAATTAAAAATACTTTTAACTAGTAAATGACTAACACGATTGATCATTAGGAACATCTGCCAAATGTGTTCTCTTATGGTCAAAATTCGTGAAAGAAGATACAGTCTCATGAACAAGTTGTTAATTGATGTGAACTAAAACAGTTTGATTAATTTATTGATTATTTAATGAATCAAACTACTCCTGTCATTAAATTCAGTCATTTATACGGTAAGATTGTGAGAGAGAATCTATTAATGAACACAATGATCTAATCTAAGTGTGGATGACATTGACATGGTTTTGTTGAACGTCTCAAGGAGAGTCCAGGGCATAAACTGAATTGATAAGAAAAAAAATTGGTGACAGATTTATTGAATTGTAAAGGTTGGAGGAACAAACTAACATGCACCGTAAATAAAATACGAGGAAGTTGGTTAGTTTGGTATGAGAATCTAGTAATGTTTTATTAATTATTTTATAATTTTATTTTAAAAAATAAAAAAATGAGAGAAAAATTCTAATTACAGAAGTTTTTATTGTTTTTTTATGGGAAGCAAAATAATCTTTAAAAAATAACTAATACAGTACAGCTCGTTATTCTATGTTCCTCATAAAATTTTATGTGCTTCAAAAACAAGAAAAAGCAAATTATAAAAAACTTTAAAAAAATGGGGTGGAAATACCAATGAACCAACTAAAACTTTTTATTTGTATTTTTTTATTAAGTCTTCTTACTTTTTATTTAACAATTATAGTTTTTTTTTTTAAATGATAATCAATAAATCATAAGAAAATATTTAAGATTATGGACACATAAGACAATGCAAGATGAAAAAATATAATAAAAACAATGGAGATACAACATAGATGAAAGTCACAAATCCTCTGTATGTTGCAATAGTTACCATCAATTATTTATTTATTATTTATTTTTTTATAATTTTATTTTTTAATTCACAATTTAATTCTTTCATGTTAATTTTGAGCTTGATTGTTTATTTTGATTAGTTTTATATAAAGCTCTTGTTGTATTAAAAATAAATTTTGATATTAAATTAATATTTGATTTAACAAAATAAATTTTAATTTTATTGATTTAAACCAAATAAAATTTTAAGAACCTAATTTAAAATGAAATAAATATTCATTTTTTTAATTAATAACATCTTTATCTTAACTTTTTAATTTAATATTTAACTTAAATTAACAAATTTATTATTAATTATATATACATACACACACACACATACACACACACATATATATATATAATTCTCAATTTATTTTATTAAGAATGTATATAAAGCTTGTAAAAATATTTTGTTTTTAGTTAAAAAACCATCAAGAAGGTCCGCATTCCTTTTCTGCATCGAGAATAGAAAAAAACGAAAGAGTCTAATACATAGCGTAGCGCGAGGAACAAGCCGGTAAATAGAAAATAAAGCGACGCGTCAGTCTGTTAATGGACGGAGGACTAACGGACTAAACCCCCACGTTAGGGCTTAACATCTATCAAATGGTTACTGTTGCAAACGAGGACGTGGAAACTTCAACTTGCAAGAATGTCCCATCACCCAATACTTTCAAAACAGTGGAACGTTTTCCACTACCGTATCAAAATAAAATCTATTTAGATTAGCCTGTTAAATTGCATCATTACATTAAAAGTCCACAGTCGAACGTTGATTATGGTTGCTTTAATTAATCAACGGCTGAAACTAGTGTGCTACAATTAAATGACCGCAGACCAGTAAAGCAAGCCAAAACGACTTAGCTTTGGCGTCGCGGTGACTCTTCAATACAAAAACGAGGTAGTTTCGAGTTTTTTTGTTGGAAAAGTGGTCCTTAACTTCCTTAAAAACTGAGATCAAAGCAAAGCTAAGCTAAAGAAGCCCTTGAAGAAAAACAACAGCAGCAACAAGAAGAAGTTTTCTCGGGGTTACGGGGCTGATTTTCTTGTATTCTTCAAGAAATAAGTCGAGGTTTTAATTTCTGTTCTGACTAGTGAGATAAAGTCGGGTTCTTTTTGAGGAAAAAGAAAAGTTGGGGTTTTGACATTTTGATGTTTGAAGTAAAGATCCAATTTTGAAGGGAGAGAGGGAGTTATTAGAGAGATGCAGACAGAGGCAAGAGTAGGAGTGGTGGTAGAGGGAGGGCCAAGGGCTCTTAATTCACAGCCGAAGCAGCACAAGCCATTGCAGCAACAGCATCAGCAATCGCAGATCGGAACAGTTTCGCAACTTGTAGCTGGTGGAGTTGCGGGTGCACTAAGCAAGACTTGCACTGCACCTCTTGCACGCCTCACCATACTCTTTCAGGTTAGTTTCTCCCATTGGAGTATTTTCTTTGTTTTCCTGGCTTTTGTTTGTTTTGGTTTTTTAGCTGTTTGATGTTGTTAATTGGGTTTTTGTATTATTTTTTTGTGTGTTTGATTATATTTGTGTTTAAAAAATGTTGGGGGGATTTGTTCTTTTGTGGTTGCATATGCTCTCTAATTGAACAAATAAAGGAAACTATTATGATTTTCTTATTGGACTAATACTAATCAAGGAACTGGGATATTTAGATTAGCATCTATGGAACGATGAAATCGGTGGGGTGACTCTGTACATTGCGGTAGACATCATTTTAATGTGGCTTAATCTTTTCAGGTGCAAGGCATGCACTCAGATGTTGCAACATTGAGGAAAGCTAGTATATGGCACGAGGCTTCTCGAATTATTCGAGAGGAAGGATTTAGAGCTTTTTGGAAAGGGAATCTTGTTACAATTGCTCATCGGCTTCCTTACTCGTCTGTCAACTTCTATGCATACGAGCGCTATAAAGAGGTTGGCAAAAGCATTGCAGGAATAATTACTGTTCTGTGGTTCAAAACCATTTCCTATTTAGATTTTATGCCTTTATCCTAGTAGCTTGATTTTGATTATGAGTATTTGCTATGTAGTTGCTACACATGATTCCTGGCCTTGAAAGCAGTAGAGAAAACATGGGCAGAGACCTGCTTGTACAATTTGTTGGTGGTGGTTTGGCAGGAATAACAGCAGCATCTGCTACATATCCATTGGATCTTGTAAGGACACGCCTAGCAGCGCAGGTATAGCTTTTCAGAGATGAATTTGCCATTTTAGTCTTCCATTATTGGAGTTTATATTCTCCTCATTCGCTCTCGTCTTTAAGCATCCCAGCTTGTGATTTAATTAGTAGAATGCAAAGGAATTTGATGTTGTCTTTCTGTAAAGATCAAACAGTTTCCAATTTTTAAACCACAGTCAATTTTACTTGTCATCAACTTAAGTAACCAAAACAAGAGGTCGTTTGAAGATTGTTGTTTACTCCATTGGTACTGGTTGCACAATAAAGTGTAGTGGGCACTACAAAGTGTTGATTTAGTGTGTGCCAGATGATAAGGGGCTGCCTTTGGGGCTATGCCTGGTCAAAATTCCATCAATGTTAGCTCATATTTGCTGGATAATATAAAAGATCATTCTGTTGGTTTGTTTTATTCAGTTCTATATTACTTAGTCTGTGATTTATGGTAATTCATCTGTTGACTAGGATTGTAGTTGTTGCTGATGGATTTCTTCCCTTTAGCAGGTGATCTTAGTTATGACCTGTGCTAATGATTTATGATTTTCATGATTAATTTAAATCTGAAGTGTGATGTTACTTTCCCCTTGTTATCTGCTTCTAAACTTGTAGTATGTTTAGTAACTGGTTATTACATGTTCAAGCTGCTTCTTTTAACTCAATTAGTTTCCAATTTTGCAGATAAATGTGATCTACTATAGAGGTATTTGGCATGCATTACAAACAATTAGCAGAGAAGAAAGTGTTTTTGGCCTCTACAAGGGACTTGGAGCCACACTTTTGGTATGTTTTATTGGTTATGCTCATATTAGGGTTTATGTTAGATGGTTCCATCATTTTGATTTGTTCTTAATTGTCATTGAACATTAATGTAGGGCGTTGGACCCAGTATAGCTATCAGCTTCTCAGTGTACGAGAGCTTACGATCGTTTTGGCATTTGCACAGGTAAGCTCACTAGTTGATTCAGCAAAATGAAAATTTCTTCAGGCCTTTTTATGTGCCATTTGTATGTGCGATTCTTAGACATTTTTTTTTTTGTACTTTCTACTTCATACCAGGCCCCATGATGCTAATGTTGCCGTGAGTCTGGCTTGTGGCAGTCTTTCAGGCATTGCATCCTCAACTGGTGAGTGATCTGAAACCTGTTAAATGAAGGGTCTTTCAAAATTTAGAGTTTTTTTTTTTTGGTTCCATAAATGAAGCATATGTTTCTGGTTAAACCCCAGCTTTATTGTTAATTCTGATGCATGGTTTGAGTATTCTCTCCTGTGCTGTAATTACAGATATTCCTCATGTAGTTGTCCTTGTAGTTGTGCCTAATCTTTGATTGGTTGGCATTGTAGTAAAGTTTGTGCTTCATATGTTACCATAAGACACAGGAACAGGAGTTGTTTAGGTCACCCCATAATTTCACTTCTCCCAGAACTTTCCTGACTAAACCATATTTTAAGTAGCAGATAAGCAGTGTTGAATGAGAGTTTGGTTGAACATTGGACTGCTCACCTTTTTTTTATTAGGTTAGGGCACTATCTAATCAAAGAAGTTAATATTTGCAGCTGTTTACTACGCTCTTGATGCAGAGAAGCAGGGTGTGGTGCAGGCTCTGCATTAAGTATCTAAACAGACTGACCTGTAGAGCCAGAAACCAGACAGGAGTTGTTTTATATCCTGCATTTGAGAATTTTAGTAAGGAAGTCAATAAAATAATCTTCTTTTGTCATTCATCTAACTTTATTTTCTACATGAGAATCTTTCTTGCATTGACCTATTTCCTCCAGCAATTCTTTGACTACTTGTGTCCCCAAGCATTGCAGTTGATTCCATAATAGGGTGGCACTACTCCCAGGTGAACTAGTGCTGTTCTCTCAGTTACCATTTGTGAGAGCTATCCTCTTTGAGGTATGCTTCTCACCTAGGCTTCCTTTGCTGACTGTACAATGGGTATTTTTATCCTGAAGCCTCGTGATGCAGTTGCCAGGATGCTGTCTATTGGTTTCTGTCAGATTTGGCTATGTCACAGATTTTCTTTTCCCCTTTAATTTATCAACAATGACTGGAGAAAGTTTTCTTAAAACAGTGGTCATGCTCATGCATGATGAAAGTTTTAACTGCTGCTGTTTGAATTTAGAATTTAGATTTTTCTTTTATCAAATACCATTCTACACATTATTGACCTTCCTGATGCTTCTATTTTCTTTTAGGCTTGCTTTTCTTGCATGATTGATTTTTCCTAGTGTGCATCAAATGAAGCCAAAAAAAACCCATGAACAGACAAGACACAAGAGGTTCTCATGATGTTTGGTAACCTGTGCGAGCAAAGCATGTCTTGTGGTGCAAGAATAATTTTTTTCTATTGTCCTTGGAATATGCAGCAACATTTCCTCTTGATCTTGTGAGACGCCGGAAGCAATTGGAAGGAGCAGGTGGACGGGCTCCTGTTTATACCACAGGTCTTCTTGGTATATTCAAGCAAATAATCCAGACTGAGGGTTTCCGGGGTCTATACAGAGGCATTATGCCTGAATACTACAAGGTTGTGCCTGGTGTTGGTATCTGTTTTATGACGTATGAGACTCTAAAATTGCTTTTAGCAGATGTTACTCCCAAATTATAGTTTCTGTGAACGCCTCAGGGTGTTTGCCTTGCAGCTGAAGGGATGAGCTGTTGAATTGTCAAGTAGCAGAATTGTTCATCTTATTTCATGGATTTCCTCTCGGTGCATAATTTTGTTATGCTATCATTGGGGTACATTGTCCCATGTAGATAGACCAAACCTAAATCTGATTTCAAGTGTACTCATCATAGCGCTCACAATTCTCAAAGAAAGTAATACTAACGGTGATCAATATTTTTTTCCAGTTCAGTTAGTCTAATTTGTCATTGCCTTGTCTCTTTTTTTTCGTGCATTCATTCGCTGCTATTTTTAACGGATTAGGCTGGGGACATTTGCTGTTTTCATGTCACTAGCTTGAGGGATTTTATGGCGTTGCGGTTATCACAGCTCCTGTCGCCTTTTTTGCAGCTGCTCTTTCTGCCTGTCTAACTGCAGGTTGTATTTTGCAACGAGAGTATTGGTCAAATCAGACAGGTTTAGCTGATAGTTGCTATAAATGTTTCCCCAATGTTGTGTTCAGGCATTTTTGTCAGTCATTGTAACCATCATGTCAGTTTTCATGTAATGTTATTGGATTGCACTGCGCCAAACAGCTAATATATTTCTGTCATTTTTCAAGCAGTTTCACCTGCCCACTCTCTCATAAGCAATGCCCCCTCAACAGGATTTTACCAGACTTGAGGACGGTTGCGTTGCAACTCTCGACAGCACAAAACATAGGCGCATCAAAAGCATTATTTTTATGCTTTTATTGTTGCTTTTTTACTTTTAAAGATGAGCCCCATCACTAATCTCAAGCACAACAGCTAGCCAAAGTAGGTGCTTAGCACAGAAAATGGTGGGGAAAGACAGCATCCTGCAGTCTTTCCATCAGAAATACAGAGTAAATGGGGAATGAACCATCAATGCATCCCCTTCCATGCTACCAAGTTAACTACAACCTGGTAAACTCTGGGCACTCTACTGTAGACCCATCAAAATTGTTGCAGAGTTTCTGTGGACCCATGTATTTTATAAATATTTCATCCGATCCTTCAAGATTTTTAATTTTTATATACATCCTCCTCTGTAAGTAAAGAAACAAACAACAGCTATCGTTTTTGTTGTTAAGTGAGTTTTGAATGAGATAATCTTGCTTCGCATGAAACAAACGTATATAATAAATATGTTTTGCGTGTTGATGAAATTATATATTCAAAATACTATTTTCGTTAATTTTCTTAGAATGCATCTCTTTTCTTCAAATACTCATGACACGTCTTCATGATTTTGAAAACAATTTAAATCAATCATTCTGACTTCTGCTTAAAGGATGATTGATGATTTAATCAATGTAGTGAACTTTAATTTCCCAAAAGAAAAATAATGATGTTGTAATTTTCTTTGAGATTGAGTAAACTTGCAATTCTAATGCTAGTTTTCTTTCTTGGTTTTGAATTTTTTTTAATAGCAAATTGAATATAATACTGTCACACATTAAATCTTTTATTAATATTTACATCGAAAAAACAATTCTATTGATGCAGTGGTCATGAGAATCTAAAAGCTGAACCACTTGAATGATAAGAATAGGATACGATTATTTATTGAACTCGGAATTTATTTTTTGTGGGGCACGCATCGTCACTGGACCCCGTGAAAATTAAGGGGGAGCTGTCCAATCTTCTGTTATGAGCTCAACGCTTGTTGAGGAGCAGCAAAACAGTGTGATCATAGGGGACTAAGGAAAAGAAATGAAGTTTACATGAGCTTTAGAATTATAATGGGAAATTGCCAGTAAGGCTTATGTGGCTCAGGGTGGAACGTAAACCATACTTGCTGACAGCAGCATTAGCAGACCTGAATCCTTCCCCATAAGCTGGAGTGGCATCATGGGCGATTTGATACATGAAAAATTCACCCAGTCTTTTTTCTACTTGGGACTTCCCACCCTTCTTTGAAGAGGAAGAGGAAGAGGAAGAGGAAGCTGCTGATGTGGATGTGGATGTCGATGGCATGCCTTTAGATCCGGGCAATTCTGATTCAAGCCACATGTATGAGAGCGCTTGACAGATTCCTTCCTCTACCTCAGGATCAAGATTGCGGTATCCTACATTATGAAAAGAGAAATGAAGAGTGCGACAGCAAAATTTACAAAAGCCTTTTCGAGCAAAATTCAAGCCGGCAGCTTTCTACCTTTGAGGCGTAACCACCCATGCATCAACTCGTGAGCAAGAATAGCACCCGTTAGCAGTCTGCATCCAACAAGCTATCAGAAAACAAGAAGTTTACAGGGTATGGTAAAACTTGCAAATTTCCAACAGAGGACAAAGAAATGATAAATCAAAAGGAAAAGTTCAGCATGGAAATGGTTGATTTTGCTAATCAAAGAAAAGCTTGATCGAGTTATGCATGTTCTTATCAGATGATGTTAACAGACTGTTAGTAATACAGGAAGTCTTTCCCGAGGAAATGCGTGCACGCGCGCTTGTGTTGTGGTTGAAAATTTTCTTAGTTATGCAACCTCACTGACTACCGAAGAAATTTTACAGAGAATTTGGAATATACATTCATTTTACATCCACTTAAATGATGGTACATGATACACGGTCTACATATACTTTTATTTTAACAACGAGGATTGCTTGATCCATTGTTGAAGGTTTTGTCAAGTCTTAAAACATGACCAAAACCACTGACGAGAAAATTAACTGCAGAGCGAAGAACTAAAAATTGCCTCTGAGTATTACCTTGGAAGACCATAAAGAACAAGAATAGCTGTAACTTCACATTTCCGAGTCAGCTTTTGGGGTTCAGTTCTCATTCCTACCAGTCGGTGGCCTCCAATTCTTGGTCTCTTTTGTATCTGGTTGAAATCAGAGAGAAAAGTCAAGGCAAGCGCCATGTTAAACATTTTGTTCCTCACTAATGAACCCAACACAAATTGTTAAAATAAACCAAATACTAGAGTTATCCAGTATCATACACTAGTGACAGTCTGCTCTTCTGAGAGACATAGACCCCTTGTCTCGGGCATATGGTGGTAGCCCTGGAAAGAACCATGTCTAAATAAAAGCAATTTCACCAATCAATAGATTTTAAAAGAATGTGAGAGATAATACATTACATTCTTCTCTCCAAAAATGGCTTCATTGAGTGCCTGTCTTTGAACTAGAAGCATGGGAATTTGCTGGTCCAGTTTCATATGCATTCCTTCATAATAGTCCCTGATATCGTGGTAAAGGGGTTGGCAATCACCAGTATCCATGATAGCCGATTCCATGCATTCTAAGCACAAGCTGCGGCCATCTTCCAAAGAATAGTATCTCACATCCCTAGACTATGGGTGGACAGACAAAAAAAAAACAAGAAGAAGAAGAAGAAAACCAACAACTACCATAAGCAAAAAAAAAATTGATATCATTATTGAGCACATTCCCTTCTCCAAGATTGTTAAAAGAGAAATAAATATATACTGGACAGCCAACTACTGCATCAACAAAATAGAAAATTCTAATGGATAGTTTGTTTTACAAATTTACATACATACCTCCAGACGTTCACAACTGCAGCATCGAGCTGTGTTGTCATGCTCATGTGATGGACAATACTTTTGGGACCAAAATGGATGGCACCTATACTCAATCAAACCAGCTGCGTTTGTAGGGATCTGAAAGCATATAAAGAAAATGTTCTAGATCATGCCCATAATAAGTTACAAACTAAAAACTCGAAGAGAGTGATCGACACAAATCAGAAAACTAGCATAGTATTTAATTGAATGAAAGTTAATTTTCTTACAAATTGGTGGCAGACTTCACATTTGGGATGAGTTAACTCTTTGAAACAAGACTTGTGATATGGATCCTTCCCTGACAAAGAAAACTTGGATCAACAGAAAAAATAAGTTAAAAACTAGATGAAACATTTCTTATCATTATTTTGAATTTCTTACACTATATGCACTTTTGACATCTGACTCAATTCATCCACAAAAATAGCGGACCGTGAAAATTTTCATTAAATGTGTTTCTTTTAAAGAAGATAGCAAGATACTCGTGAGCCTGAGAAGTATTATTACCTCGGTCTCAGTGATTGGGTAACGACAAGAACGACAGCAAAAGCACTCTGGATGAAAATATTTTCCCATGCATCCCAAATAATTGCCATTACCAATGTCACGTTGGCAGCCGCTACATAAACTTCAAGTCAAGGCATACCATGCATGATCAATACAGTTCGAGGGTGGAATACTCATAAATTTAAAAATGGGAGTTGACATCTTGTTTCTTAATTTTCTTGTTAACAGTGATTTCTTTTCTCTTGGATTGAATGAAAGATTTCTGCAGAAAATATTTAAAAAAGCCTGCAAAAAGTAGGCTACAAGCACTGCACATAGACCCGTATCATTTATATCATACTTTGAGCAAAAAAGTATGACGATTTACAATAATGCTGCATCACTATAGTTACCAAGAAGTTAAATCGTTAGCTTCTCTGCAAGTGAAGAGAGAAGTCAAATGTTTTGTGACCTTTGTAATGAACCATGTGTGTTAATTTCCAATAAAAGCTGTCACAGTCCTGCCAAATTTCCACATTTGAATTTCTACCATACATTGCTGTTAGATTATCCTTAATGGACAAAGAAATCCACTTTTCAGGATGATAGACATGTATAAACGCATAAGGATCATATGTGTTTGTAAACCTCAAATGTTCTTTCTTAGTTCATCGAGGATAATTCATGAATGGTGCTAGACTTGGATAACTACCCTCCCATTTCATCAACCATGCTGCAAGCCAACTACAAGATACCTAGAGTTTGGCATGCATGCATGCCTATAAAAATGTATTTGTTGAACTGAGTCACGAATTAGCTATGACAAAAATTAAAAGTTTTACCTCAAATTCCTGGGACAATATTGTGTAGTGCCATATGAAGGAAATGAAGGTGAATTAGGGGTATCCTGAAGCGATCTTGCTAGATCTTGATCATTTGTTTCCCGACTACATCCTGGAAAACAGATATTGAATGTTTACAGAACTCCCAGAATAGCATAGACACAGAAAAGCATGTGCATATGTTTGTGTGTGTTAAAAAATATATGAATGTGAAGTGAGCAAAACCGCACCACTTGGTTGCTTCCAATCTTCAGCCATAGTAAGTGCAATGGCATCCCCCCGCTCCTTCCCAGTTCTAGAACGATCATCCTGATAACAATATAGAAGCTAATTGAAAAATCTGTCTTCTCCCCTCTGAGCAACCAATATGTAGAATTGTGTGAAGTGCATGAAGGGGAATTCTTCCTTTCCATATTTCATCTGTGCCCATACAGTAGGATTTAAACCCCGTATCCAGGTGCTCTACTAGCACCTGAGCAAGACAGTTGAATTAACGAGTGGGATAGAAAAAAACCATGTAGTTCTAGACTATTAATACATGTATGATCAATCTGTTTTCTAGTCAAAGTACACATTACAACCAGCATTATTACCTGAAAGAAACTTGCAGGTTGAAATGTTTCAGAGCAATGTCAGAGAGTATCAGCTAAACTCAATTATACGCTACACTTGTCAAAATTGACAGGATCTAACTTCTATTTACTACCGAATATAAAAATTAAGTGAAGAGACAGGTTATT